GTTAAAAAGGCGACTTTCCTTTAAAGAAGAAGTTATTGAAGACAGTTGCCTGTCCTTCGTGGGCAAGATTAGGAACTCACCAGTTGCCTAAAAGCTTGGTATCATTTGCTTTACTTTACCGAAGACAAGAGAAGTTTCTGTTTGATTGTTCATTAATAAAAGACTGTTGTACTTCTCACGCCATCTAAAGACTGTTTGTGGTGGAAACCTCTGAGAACTTCTCTTTGGGCCCCCTGGCTTCCCATTGGGCAAAGGTTGCACGTCCTGTTTTAAAGACAATCATTTACAGGCCCACCGTGTGACAGAACAGAGTAGATCAAAAAGGTACCGCTTCGGCAGGAAAGTAATGGTGCTCCATGCAGTCATGACCTTGGAAGTGTCTACGGACAATGCCGGCTCTTTGGCTTAGAAATGGAGATGAGCACCAAAGTCCCGGAGTCAGACACGACTGGACTTAATGTCAGGGGCAAACCTTTACCTTTACACTAGCCATATAATTAAGCAAAAACTGTATTATATGGCCCTGTAGATGCAACCTGAGATACTATTTTCCACATCTTTCACGACATTAAAGACTTCTATTAGTAGGTCCGCCACAATCTCATTGGAAGGCTCTTTCTACCATGCTTTCTTTGAAGACAACAAACACTGCTCACGCCTCACTGGGACAAATGAGACTAAACGTACTTCACTGGAACCATTTGGTTATCAGTGAACTTCCCTCGGTGGGAAAGAAAAGGCTTTCTTCCAAGGGGGCAGGGCAGGGGGGCTGACTATGTACGAAGTAAAATCAATGAAGTCTTCAAAGGCAGGGAGAAATCGGCTCTCCTGCAGCAGCTGTCATGCTCAGAAAGCCAAGAAAGAGTGAAGCAAAGGGATCAATAGCCAAACCCAATGCAAAATGCACTCCTTGCATTGAACTCCAGGAGCCTCATTGACTGCAAGGTGAAGAAACAAACCGGTCCATAGCGGTGGGGTGGAGAGGTCCTCATTACTCAGTCACCTCTCTGTTCGTTTACAGGTTCTTAGTTCCCATGGAGTCAGGGACCTTTGTGCATACTTCTCAGGAAGCTGACACACCCGTCACCACAATCGTTGGAGTTGTTGGTACATCAATAAGCCAACCCCCTTCATCTCTTTATTGATTTATTTACTGTATTCGTATCCCGCCTTTCTCAGCCCATAGGCGACTCAAGGCGGCTAACAGAGTAAAATTCAATGCTTACAATATCATAAATATAATTAAAAACATAGGTAAGGTAAAGGTAAAGGTAGTCCCCTGACATTAAGTCCAGTCGTGTCTGACTCTGGGACTCTGGTGCTCATCTCCATTTCTAAGCCAAAGAGCCAGCATTGTCCGTAGACACCTCCAAAGTCATGTGGCCAGCATGACTGCATGGAGCACCGTTACCTTCCCGCCGGAGCGGTACCTATTGATCTACTCACATTTGCATGTTTTCGAACTGCTAGGTTGGCAGAAGCTAGGGCTGACAGCAGAAGCTCACGCCGCTCCCCGGAATCGAACCTGCAACCTTTCGATCAACAAGCTCAGCAGCTCAGTGCTTTAACCCACTGCGCCACTGGGGGCTACATATATGGCGAGTGTAGACTCATATAATGCAGATTGAACTGCATTACATATCATAAAAACATAACATATCATAAGAAGTAAACAAATCAATAAAATATAAATTCATAGTGTCTCCTTGTTAAAAACGTTGTCCGGACTCATTGTTGTCATTCCATTTTCCTATGTCAGTTAATCTGCATTTGGAAACGCTTGTTCAAAAAGCCACGTCTTTACTTGGCCAATCTAATATCCCTAGGGAGGGCATTCCATAGCCGAGGGGTCACCACCGAGAAGACTCTGTCTCTCCAATCTGCCAAACATACTTGTGATGAAGACGGAAATGAGGGCAGGGCCTCTCCAGATAATCTTAAGGTCCTAGATGGTTCATAAGGGGAGGTGTGTTCGGACATGTAAGTTGGGCCAGAACTGTTTAGGGCAGTGCTTCTCAACCTTCCTAATGCCGTGACCCCTTAATACAGTGCCTCATGTTGTGGTGACCCCCAACCATAATTTTTTTTCCGTTGCTGCTTCATAACTGTAATGTTACTACTCTTATGAATCATAATGTAAATATCTGACATGCAGGATGTACTTTCATTCACTGGGAGAAATTTGGCACAAATACCCAAATACACCCAAATGTGAATACTAGTGGGGTTGCGGAGGGGGGGGAATTGATTTTGTCATTTGAGAGTTGTAGTTGTAAGGATTGATAGTTCACCTACAATCAAAGACCATTCTGAACTTCACCAACAATGGAATTGAACCAAACTTGGCACACTGAACTCCCATGACCAAGAAAAAATACTGGAAGGGTTTGATGGGCATTGTCATTGAATTTTGGAGTTATAGTTCACCTACATCTAGAGAGCACTATGGACTTCAACAATGATAGCTCTGGACCAAACATGACACAAATACTCAATATGCCCAAATGTTCACACTGGTGGGATTTAGGGGAAATGGACCTTGACATTTGAGAGCTGTAGTTGCTGGGATTTATAGTTCACCTACAATCAAAGAGCATTCTGAACCCCACCAATGATAGAATTGGACCAAACTTCCCACACAGAACCCCCATGACCAGCAGAAAATACTGTGTTTTCTAATGGTCTTTGGTGACCCCTCTGGCAACCCCTCGCGACCCCCCTAGGGTTGAGAAACACTGGTTTAGGGCTTTATAGGCTAAAGCCAGCACTTAGAATTGTGCCCGGTAGCAAACTGGCAGCCAGTGGAGCTGGCGCAACAGAGGAGTCATATGCTCCCTGAGCACCGCTCCTGTTAGCAATCTGGCTGCCATTCGTTGGACCATGTGAAGCTTCTGGACAGTCTTCAAAGGCAACCCCACACAGAGCGCATTGCAGTAGTCTATACGGGATGTAACCAGAGTGTGGACTACTGTGGCCAAGTCAGACTTCCCAAGGTACGGGCACAGCTGGAAGCACTATGGAAGCACTTCTCCTCCGGTAAAGGAGTAGGCCAGCGTTTCTCAACGTGGGGGTCAGGACCCTTGGGAGGGTCACAAGGGGTTTCAGAGGGGTCACCAAAGCCCATCAGAAGACATATATTTCTGGTGGTCTGAGGAACCCCTTTGGCAGAGAAGGCTGAAGATCTCTGCGCCTGTCCTTTTCTTCCTTTTTGGAGACAGTTGTCAAATCCTCCCACAAAAAGCTCTCCTCTGCTGTGATTGGCCGGCCTCTCAGCCAAGAAGAAGGCTGCTTCTGAGACTCTAAGCAAGGAGGGTAGAGCAAGCGTGCGCAGCGCATGTGCAGGCGAGGGAGAGCCTGGTCCTGTTCAGCATCTTTATCAATTACTTAGATGAAGGGCTAGAAGGCAGGATCATCAAGTTTGCAGGCGGGACCAAATTGGGAGGGAGAGCCAAGACTCCAGAGGACAGGAGCAGACTCAAAGGGATCTTGGCAGATTAGAGAGATGAACGGCCAAAACTCACAAAATGAAGTTCAACAGGGACAAATGCAAGATACCACACTCAGGCAGGAAAAACGAAATGCAAAGAGACAGAATGGGGGACAATGAGGCCTGGCTCGAGAGCAGGACGTCTGAAAAAGATCTTGGAGTCCTCGTGGACAGGAAGGTGAACGTGAGCCAACAATGTGATGTGGTGGCAAAAAAAAAGCCAATGGGATTTTGGCCTGCGTCAAGAGGAGCCTAGTGTCTAGATCCAGGGAAGTCATGCTCCCCATGCTCTATTCCGCCTTGGTTAGACCACTTTACCTGGAATATTGTGTCCAATTCTGGGCACCAGAATCACAGAATGATAGAGTTGGAAGGAGACCTCATGGGCCATTCAGTCCAACCCCCGGCCAAGAAGCAGGGAAATTGCATTCAAAGCACCCCCTGCAGATGGCCATCCAGCCTCTGTTTAAAAGCTTCCAATGAAGGAGCCTCTACCACACTCTGGGGCAGAGAGTTCCTCTACTGAACAGCTCTCACCGTCAGGAAGTTCTTCCTCCTGTTAAGATGGAATCTCCTCTCTTGTAGGTTGAAGCCATTGTTCCATTGTCGTCCTAGTCTCCAAGGAAGCAGAAAACAAGCTTGCTCCCTCCTCCTCCCTGTGGCTTCCTCTCACATATTTATACATGGCTATCATATCTCCTCTCAGCCTTCTCTTCTTCAGGCTAAACATGCCCAGCTCCTTAAGCCACTCCTCATAGGGCTTGTTCTCCAGACCCTTGATCATTTTAGTCGCCCCTTCCTCTGGACACATTCCAGCTTGTCAATATCTCTCTTGAATTGTGGTGCCCAGAATTGGACACAATATTCCAGGTGTGGTCTAACCAAGAGGGGTAGCATTAGCATGACTTCCCTAGATCTAGATCTAGACACTAGGCTCCTCTTGATGCAGGCCAAAATCCCATTGGCTTTTTTTGCTGCCACATCACATTCCTGGCTCATGTTTAACTTGTTGTCCACGAGGACTCCAAGATCTTTTTCACACGTACTGCTCTCGAGCCAGGCATCGTCCCCCATTCTGTATCTTTGCATTTCGTTTTTTCTGCCTAAGTGGAGTATCTTGCATTTGTCCTGTTGAACTTCATTTTGTTAGTTTTGGCCCATCTCTCTATAAGACCATTTTGAATCCTGCTCCTGTCCTCTGGAGTGTTGGCTATCTTAGGGATACTCATACTCTCAAAGACAAAGACAAACTCCCTAAAAACATTTTTACAAGAAACCCTTGAAATAGGGTCACAATAAGTTGGAGATACATCAGAAAAACACCCAATGGATATGTTAGAAGAAATCTTGCTTTTCTCCAATAGTTTTGGGTAGATCTTGAAGCAAAGCAGTTGAACGATGGGGATGGTTTACCATACCGTGGTTGATTCAAGAGACCCACTCTGGTTGGCAGCAGAAAACAACAGGGATGGAGAACTGGATGGAGATGAAAGCACAAAGGGCAGAGACTCACCACTGGATTCCGACCTTGGCTGGTGAGGTAGTAAAGCAGGCCTTTGGTGTGGTAAATGGTGGGTTGGCATGCCGGTCGGGGATTCAGCCACTGCCTGTTCAAATCTTCCCCACTTAAGGAGCAGCGCTGGCTGGAACCCAAGAAAAGGAAAAATCTAAAATGAGAAATGATTGAACACTGCGAGCAAATAATCCTCCGAGAAGGTGTGAGAGCCAGGGCTGGCTTGGCTTCTCCTGCTACTCTTTATTCCTGCGCACTTTCACTCGAGATGGAATTGAATGAAATCAAATCTCCAGAGTTATTTATTTTAGAGGATTCATTTCGGCACTGTATTCATTATCACTTGCTTTGCCTGCCGAGGCCTGTGCGGTCGGACTTCACAATGTTAGGGGCAGCCTTCTTTTCCAAGAGCGGCACAAAAGATCAAAAGAAACCCTTCACTCCTGAACAGTCTGTTTACATTCGTACAAAAGAGATACATGGATGCCGTTTTAAATAATTTCCTATCAAGACGAGTATAACTAGAGAAGGGAATGTGTTCCCTGACATCAGGGGGAGGGCGAGGCAGGGGGCTAGTCCTGGAGTGGCTCCGGAGACAGGGGCCCTTGACGGTCCCCTCTGGAAAGGCACCTGGCTTCCGTGGATGCAGACAAGTTCACCTTGAGAACAGAGCTCAGGGAAGGGACCACGCTTGGACATTAGGGCTGGGCGGTTTCGTTCATTAATTTCGTAATTCGGTATTAATTCGTTATTTTTTTTATAACGAAGCAATATTGAACCATTCAGGAGCAACTAAAAAACGAAACGAATTTTTCCAATTCGTTTCGTAATTGTTTCGAAATTGTTTCGTTATTATTTCGTTATTATTTCCGTATGTCTGGTGCAAGTTTTATAGTCGTTGTTTATTTTATCAGTGATAAAAAAATATAATTATCACACAAACAGTCAACAACAGAGGGAGAGGGAAGCTTCAGAAGTTCCCCCCGTCCCATTTGGAGGGTTTTTTAGCGTATTGCGCAATCGCGCCCGCCATCAACAAATCGATTCGTAATTGTTTCGTAATTGTTTCGTAATTTCCGAAATTTCGTAAATATCGAACTTTTTAAAAGAAAAATTTCAGAATTCTTTTAAATAACGAAATGCAAAAACCCCCTAAAAATGAATAGAGTTTAGAAACAATTTTTTCCGTGGTTGGACAGCCCTATTGGACATACATCATGGCTTTATCTGAGCTGGCCAAAGCTAGAGCTTGAGAGAAGCCATTCCAACACACCATCCATCTCTTTTATATATTTACTAGAAGTCGACTGCCAGGTGTTGCTGTGGCCCAGTCTGGTGATCTGGAAAATACAGTAATGGTTTCTAATCTATGTCATGTCTTTATGCTTGTGGGTAAACAGTAGGCTTGGGTAACCACGGAAAAAATTGGTTCTAAACTCATTTTGTTTTTAGGGGGCCCTTGCGTTTCGTTTCTTTTAATAATTCCGAAATTTTCCTTTAAAAAATTTCTAAATTTACGAAATTTCAAAAAAATTACGAATCGATTCGTTAATGGTGGACGAGATTGCGCAATATGCTAAAAAACCCTCCAAATGGGACAGGGGGAACTTCTGAAGCTTCCCTCTCCCTCTGTTGTTGACTGTTGGTGTGATAAAACAACTATAAAACTTGCACCAGACATGCGAAAATAATTACGAAATAATTACGAAATAATTACGAAAAAATTACGAAATAAATTGAAAAAATTGTTTCGAATCTAATTTACTCCTCACACTATTCCTGCATGATAACGAGTTATGAAATTAACGAACGAAACTGCCCAAGCCTAGTAAACAGCATTTCTTGATGTTTCTTTGACAGTGTTGACGTAGGGATTGTCTGGTTTGCCTCCTCTGGAACATGCAACATATAATTGTCCATCTTTAGGAGTCCCTTTCAAATCTATGAGACTATATCTCTCTGTGAGTGAATCATATCTATCTATCTATCTATCTATCTTGATGACATATGCAGGAGACAAGGTGGAACTATCTTATGCCCCCCCCCCTTCACTTTACCATTCCATCTTCTGAGAAATTGGGTTGTCACGTGTGATATATGCTCAGAGTGACCAAGGCCCCATCCAGACAGCCCCTTTACTGTGGAAACTTCTGCAATAAAAGGGGGGCTGTCCAGATGACATTCTGGCCAACCCGCAATTAATTCGCCACAAACCAGAGTTTTAATTGTTGTTTTAATATATTTTTTTTATATTTTAAGATATTGTTGATTGTTTTATTATGATGACACCATATGGTGTTTGTGAGGCTACCTTGAGTCCCCCCTCGGGGGTGAGAAGGGCAGGGTATAAATATAGGAAATAAATAAATAAATAAATTCTGGGTAGGTTCAGGTTTCCCAACCATCATGATACAGATTCAGGAAGTGGTGATAATTTTGTATTTTGTCACTCACTATTTTGGTATTTCAAAATGTTTTCAGAAATTATCCTACACTGAAATACACATTATTGTTTTTTCCATGAGACTTGTGGAGGGTTGCACAAAGGCCGTGTACCATTTGCAGTGGAAGGACTAGCAATCCAACCTTACACGGCACAATCAGCTCCTATGCAGAATTCAGGTACAAAATGTACAGGGCTCCTGTCCTTCCATAGCTGGATAGAAAGGAGACATCCTGTGCCTGGGGGCTAGAACTCTTAGAGAAAGAGGCATGGACGTGACAAATTTCCCCCAGGGGATTGCTTCTTGCCCTTCTTTAGGAAAACTGGAACTCCCAAGGACCAAAACACTGTAGATAACTCAAAATAGGTTTTATTGTTCACAAAAAGTTATCCCTTTAAGGCAATAAGCTGGAAGTTTCAAAGGGGTAAAGGAAAATATACATTATTTATTTATTTGTTTGTTTGTTTGCTGCATTTGTATACCGCCTTTCTCAGCCTATCAGCGACTCATTACAGTCTCTGGTTGTCTTGGGTCCAAGGGGTTTTGCAGCTGAGAAGCTTTTCCAGGTCGCTCTTTCTCAATGGCTGTGAATATCGGAATAATCGCAACCCCAATTCCAATGGCCTATATTTTGAAGGCACAAATCCTTCCTCTGGTGCCAAAGAACTGGTTTGAAGGCACTTGAGACTTCTCAATGTCGTCCACGTTGATCTGAACATGAAGCATAAGTCTCAAGGGTAAGACCCTCAGAATTGGTGCTGAGAGATAACTTAATCAAGGGCTTCAGAGCCAAGTCTCTCTCTCACGTCCATCTGATAGAAAGTTTGATGGTGGAATGGAAAAGGAAACACTGTCCTGCTCTCTAGGAAGAGGTGGGGTCAAACAATTGAGCAGGAGGAGCAATTCAACTGGTGCAAACAACATTGATGGACAGCTATAAATAACCAGTCAATCCAACTATACATTTACAGGGTAAAAAGGCAAAATCAGGCATGATACAACAGTTCAAATCCCGCAACTTACAGTTCTACATATAGGTGGTGCCACTCGCGCCGTCACACACCCCATTGACCTACGAGCCAACAGTCACCATTGTTGGACTGCCGGCACCTCTATGGGTTATCTAAGGGCATTTTCAGACCTGACACATTCTATCTTGTAACTTCAAGTACTTCCATTCGCAGTGATTTCCCTATGTAAACTACCATAGAATTATACTGTGTAAGTGTTGAGCCAGAAGGCTATATAGTCTCCAGCTAATAAAACCAAAATATTATCTATTTTTGCAGAAAGATCCTACAAAATATTATGCACACATTACCGACTTTTATAGATTGCCAGAAGTATTGAGGATTTTATCTCTTGTTCTGCATAACACAATTTATTACACCCTTTCCAGTTTGCTTTGTTGTCATCACAATGCCTTAATTTGAAACTCTCTTTTTTAAAAAAAATGGGAAGGGGGGGAGAAGAGCTTAAGGTTTTCTTTACGCCATCACAAGTTCCAATATTCCTTTGTTCCCTTTTCTTGAATTTCCTTCTTGACCCCACAATTTTAATATGCTATTCCCTTTACTATTCATTCTGAAAGCATTAAAGCCCAGGTTATTTCTTATAGCGGTTACGATGGAAGAAGAAGAAAAAGCATTCTGTGCATCCAGACTACGAGCACATCTACACTGACCGCTTCAATCAGTTTTGGATGAAGTGCTTTCACTATGCAGATCATTGCATAGATGAGTTTACCGCCTGGATGGCGATTACACAAACTGCAGAACACCGATACGGATTAAGGCAACGTTTCTCAACCTGGGGGTCAGGACCCCTGGGGGGGTCACGAGAGAGTGTCAGAGGGGTCTCCAAAGATCAATCAGAAAGATGGAAGGTGAACTACATCTCCCCTAAATCACTGTCAATTCATCCCAAATTCCTCCAGTACGTTCTTTTGGCCCAGTTCTATCGTTGGTGGGGTTCAAGGGACTATAGGTGAACTATAAAACCCAGCAACTACAAATCACAAATGCAAAGCTCTATTTTCCCAAACTCCACCAGTAATCACATTTGGGCATGTTGAGTATTCGTGCCAAGTTTGGTCCAGATCTATCATTGTTTGAGTCCACAGTGCTCTCTGGATGTAGGTGAACTACAACTCCAAAACCCAAGGTCAGTGTCCACCAAACCCTTCCAATATTTTCTGTAGGTCATGGGAGTTCTGTGTGCCACGTTTGGTTCAATTCCATTCCTGGTCGAGTTTAGAATGCTCTTTGATTGTAGGTGAACTATAAATCCCAGCAACTACAACTCCCAAATGACAAAATCAGTCCCCCCACCCCACTCCACCAGTATTCAAATGTGGGCACATCGGGTATTTGTGCCAAATTTGATCCACTGAATTAAAATACGCCTTACATATCAGTTATTTACATGATGATTCCTAACAGTAGCAAAATTGCAGTTATGAAGTAGCAACGAAAATAATTTAATGGTTGGGGGTCAGCACAACATATAGAACTGGATGAAGGGGTCGCGGCATCAGAAAGGTTGAGAACCACTGCATCAAGGGTTTTCTTTCACATGCTTTTGTGAGCCTTGGATAAAAGGTCAGTGTAGAGCTGCCCATTGACTCATGAACATGAAACCTCACTAATACAAAAGTCATCAGAGAAGTAAGGTTACAAGATTTTTT